ATATAAGAAAAAATATATATATTTTAAAATTTGAATAGTTTTAATGTACATAGATACTTCTAAGGTGAAATTTATAATTCTAAATTGCACCCGACCATCAAAATTTATTTTTATTAGTATACTATTTAAATTTTTAATAATATTATTATTGCATATGATATATTCAATGGAGATGTACCTTTTTACAGTTAAATTGACTACATTTTTGAAACTTTTATTAATATTTTATTAAACATAGTTATTCTGATTATTTTATTAAATATTTTAATTACATCTGAATAGTGAATATAATTAATTAAATTAATGCCTACAACCATAGATGATAATATATTTAACCAAATCAATTTTCATAATAATTTTTTGAATTGTGTCAATAAATTGCTATTAAATTAATATAAGATCTTATTGAAAATATATCTAATAAATCTACGGTCAAAATTTTAATTTAAGTCAATTTGTAGTTAATGAATAATAGTCATTGAATTTATAAAAATTAATAATGTTTTTCATGTACAAGTTTTGCTAATAAATAAATATTAATTAAATGCCAAATATAGACAAAGAATTTTTCCGCCCAAATTGATGCCAATTATGGCAATAAGGATTGGTCTATTATATAGATATAGATATAGATAACGCTAATGTACCTCTATTGGAATATTTTAGTTTATATATTTTTTTACTATTTTTGTTCATGATTATAATATTTTAGTTTATATTTTTTTCGAAGTAAATCTAATTTTTCAGCAGTCAACTCCAATTTTTATTCATGATCATTAATATATATTTCTCTGCTTTTGCATCTATGTTCATCATCAACCAACAAAAACTTTGAAGCAAAGCTTGTACAAATAATAGGTTTACTAAGAGATAATTCGAAATACCTCGTTCCTCGAGTTCTCATCACGCAGGAAGTTGAAAACCCTCTTCGGTGGCACCGGGAGCCAGAATGAGGTCGCAACACTTAGTACAATCCCGGGCGGCCTGCCCGGGTCATCCATTCTCTTCCGAGTCATTACCCTAACATCGTCTACCCCAGTTTCGGACAATGTAGTCCACGTGTGCGCAATCGATGCACCGACACCCGTGAAGAAGCTCATCACCATTCTCTCAGCTAGCTTCAACATGCTCTTCCTCCCCTTTGGTGAAGATATCACTGCAAAATGCACCAACAAATTAAAATACTATATAGTCTAGTCACTGTATATAAGAAAAATCGGAGATTTAGTCCTACAACAATTGATTGGGAATCCTAAATTCAAGTTATTTTTTTTTTTCCACTTACAGCGTGCTTTATAAAATTAACGGAACCACCGAACTATTCATCAATTTGGTGTTAGTTAAAGAACTAAAATCTCCAAATTTTCACTAAACAACATTTCATGAATGTACTAAGAGTTAAAAGTGTTTTATGTTATAACTTATAACCTCCAACTTTGCCCGACGATATGTTACTAGCCATGACACTCGCCAGCCTCTCACATTGTCGGTTGAGTATAGCAACCCAGCGTCTCTCTCCAAATGCAATACCCAAGTCGACTAACGGCTTTTAGATGTTGTGCACGACTCTACCATCGACCTCCACATGTTCAATCCAAGCGACCTATGAAAAAAGTTGGATACAAATTCGACATATAACTAGCGCAATAAACGTAAGTTTCAAATTTTTTCCCTTGTTAACTCACTTTCGAGTAGCCATTGGGCAATTCTTGAATCAAGCAACCGGAGGATCTATGCTTGCACCTTGGGATGGAGTTGGGTCGAAGGTTATCCAATGAAACTTCGACAAGGGTCCAAGTAGTCCCGTCACCTTGTTGTTTGCAATACTTCAGAAAGTAGTTCTCGCGAGTCAGGACCAGTGGAGAAGGGACTAGGAACTCGGCACTCATCTTAGAAAGAAAATACACAATAAATGGAATTCTTTTCTTTCTAATAACTAAATATATATTCGAAATTTTTCGACACTTTACCACTTATCCGTCATAGTTTCCCACCACGCCTGTCGACAACACCTCCAAAGTTGCCGCTCTAGAAACGACTAGAAAACATACTCGACCATTGGTTCTACAGTCAATTTTTGGAAGATAATGGAGTTTACTTTCACATTGACTGTGACATTACAATGCTAATTATGTATATGAATATATAGTACTTGCGCTAATTATGCATTGGTGCAGTGTTTTCTCGGTGACCGTGTGGCGCATGTGGAAATGGCGTAACGAATGGGTTTTTCAAAACAAGAGTCCTAGTGCAGCGGCGAGGATAGCAGAGGTTATGAAATTAACGGAGAATTATGGTCGCGCAGCCGCGGCTTCCTTGCGGGTGGGGGCACCAACGTACATGACACGGTTGTTCACTGGACTCCTCCGGATACGGGTTGGGTGAAAGTTAACACGGATGGTGCATTTAGTCGGTCCACGGGCTTGAGCAGTGTGGGTGGCTTGATTCGGGATGAGATGGGTCGTTGGATCGAGGGTTTCATTATGAATATTGGGTCCTGCACGATTACAGGAGCCGAGCTCTAGGGCCTTTTTCAGGGTTTGATATTGGTGTGGGATCGGAGGCATCGCCATGTTCTGGTAGAGGTCGATAGTCAATGCGTCACAACCATGATCTCTAACTCGGAGGGATCTGGTGGACATCATGGGGCCTTGGTTAGAGCTATTCAAGATCTCATTCAAAGGGATTGCTATGTTCACATTCAACATGTTCATAGGGAGGCGAACTTCGTGGCGGACTTCTTGGTAGGTTTGGCGGCCTCCTACCCGCTCGGACTACACAGGCTCTTCTTCCCTCCTCCGGGGTTGGGAGATTGGCTCATGCATGATAACATTGGGGTATCATACCCCCGGCAAGTTCTTGTTTAGGCATTTTGGCTTCCTTCATTGTACCAAAAAAAATACCATGTTACATTTTTTAAATAATATTATCTATATTTATCTCTAACTTTTGAGAATATAAGAGTAAATAATTACATGTCATTAAATTTTGGATCACATTTAAACATTTGAGAAAATATAATATGTATGAAAAATTATGTTTTACAACAACACAATTAAATAATGGTATTTTGAATAAAGATTACGTAAAAATAATTGAGGAAAGAAGCTCAATGACATGGTGTAATTTACTCATGAACATTAGCACTTAAATGTCATAAGCCCATTACTCAAGCCCTCAAGGAAAAAAAATGCGATTTTATTGTGGAAAATTATAAATTACTACGTGCAAATAAATCACATCTATATCTATATATCTATATATATATAATAATAATAATAATAATAATAATAATAATAATAATAATAATAATAATAATAATAATAGATTTAAATCAAATATAATAAGCATTTCCTGTCATGCTAATTACATGCTAATTATAATAATTTTACACAATTCATTAAAAACAAATCTTGAAACATTAATTGTAATTAATTTTAACTCCCTTAACAAATGGATTTATTGTTTTAAAAAGACACTCCATAACATTTGATTAAACCCTAAATCTAAATGTTTTTAATCAATATATTTAAAAGCAGTAGTATTATGGAATTAAATATTATGGAATATCTTTCTAAAAGAAGTATACTTATAAAATCAAATAATTTAACCACGATTCAATCTTTTTAATTCAATTTATATATTTTTTTAGACTTTTTAATTTGTTTTAATATAATATAAATTTGCTGCAAAAATGAGAGTAGATCTTTAAAATAATCATGGTGTCGATATTAATAATATAAAATGTCAAGTAAAATTTAATTCTTTGGACTGTACACTCTATTATATACATATAAATAAATCGCATACTTGAACTTTAGATTTTTCTTATTTTTTCTTCACATTTAATTATGCAATACATGTAACTTAACTAAAAGTGAATAAATATTGTAACGATTTCATTTCAATCATGGTAACATGTTTTTTAAAATTGATGCAATATTCGATTCACTATTCCACTACTCTCATGTACACATTTTTTTGTTTATAATATCACATTTTTTTTATCTTTCCGATCATTTTTTTTTTGTCAATTTATTTATGAATTACATTTTCTTTTTCATTTTTAAATCGTGATTTACATGTCATCCAATTCATTTTGTTAGTTTTGAGCTACAAATGATAAAATAATTATTTTTGTAAATATTTTTTTTTTACAAAAGATACAATCAAAATTTCAAACCTCTGTTAAAACATAACAAAAACAAAATTGTTCTCAATATTGAAATTATTTTGACATAAAAAATAAAAATGATTGAAAAGGAAAAGATATACTCAAAATCCACACTTTAAGAAGTACCAACTCTTCTTATATTCTATATAAAATAAACTTTACCATATAAATCATATCTTAAGTATTTATCATAATATTATATAATTTCACTATCGTTTTACTTTGTGGTGGTAACATTCTAAAAATCAACAAAAGTTTGAAGAAATGAGGTGTCTATGCAATCCGCAATTACCAAACAATCTTGGTAAATATCAATCTACGGTTGCAAGTGCAAAATAATTTTGCATAAAAAAACAAAAAAAGAATTTAATAATGTACAATTTTTTCGTGAGGAACATTTTAAAATTAACTAAAAATGCTCTATGTAATATAATTTATTGATTAATAGCTTTCAATCTAACAAGTACAGTTCGTGCATCACGGGGTTACATACTAGTTAATCATAATAAAAAAAATGACATAAATACTAATTCACAGCTAAAGGTAACTATAAAAACTACAAATTTACTTGTGAATTGCCAGAAGCACAATTCTTCATCAGCAAAAACTAACAAAGGTTAAAGCTTTACACGGCCCTCCTAGTCTTAGTTCCATCAGAAGGCACAAAAATTAAAAAATAAAAATAAAAACACAGATAAATAAAAATAAAAACAATCAGTTTTATGCATCATTGTCACATTCAATGCCTTAGGCATCAAGGGGAAAAAGAAAAAAAGTCCGATGTCATTCGAGAACTTTGACGGGCCAAAGGGAGTTCGGCTAGTTCTCACGCCACTTGGATATTTGCGGGATTTGAACCGCTCTCGATGAATTTGGATTTCGACTTTCCCCTTCTCGAAGTCCTGGACGAACAAGACGCACTCGATTTTGGTGAAGAGGTTGACTTTGACTTCTTACGCTTCTCCTTCGTCTTCAGAGTAGGAAGTTCGGGTGATGGCATATCCTTAAAAGACTCCGATTGTTGGCCATTGGACTCGCCAAAATCTGTTTAGTGAAAGGGAAGATCAAGAGAATGTAGCATTTCTTTTAAAATTGCACTTAGACAGGAAAAACTGGTGATTTAGTCTTGTAACTAACACCCAATTGAAAAATAGTCTAGTGTTTGCATTGACTTTATACTAAACACCCTGTAACTAGAAAAAACCTAAATTTTGGTCCTTCCACCGACAAAAGCCGGTCCCTGTGACGACGTGGATATTATTTTTATTTTTTTTTTCTACACGTGGCAGCCGACTAACATATCCAACTTAGCAGCAAGTCAAATTGACCATCTTTGCCTGTGGAAGGACCAAAAGTCAAGTTTTTTTTAGTTACAGGGTGTTTTGTAAAATCAATGCAACCACCGGACTATTTCTCAATTTGGTGTCAGTTACATACTAAATTTCCAATTTTTCCCACTTTATACACATAGGGACCACAAAATGTGGAAATAACTAATAAGCTTTTGTTGGGATGAAAATTTTAGCGAGTTGCCGGACTTTTAAAGGTACAACAGCAATTTGTGGTCGACTCATTGCCATGTTCGCAAAATCAAAATATCGATAACTATACAAGACGACATTGCAATACTTTAAAAAAAAAGTACATTACCAAGCTCAATCACGACGTGTTAAAACATATGCAATTAATAGGGCAGACTTCCGAGTAATCTACACTAGACAAGTTTATAGTTTGTCCGGGTGATTCCAATATAGGCCCCCCATGGTTTTAACCATACTACAAACTCCAATTACCTTTTGAAAATTAAAAATGCCCCTTTGGTAAACACAAAACCTCATCTCGGTTATTGATATTAATGAAAGATAAGTCATAAGTGGAGCTTTTTGTAGTTTAAACTAAATCTCAGTATACTTTTTGCACCATGTACAATTGCTCAAAAGGTCACCAAATACCGTTCTTTAGATGCTTAGCAATATGAATATCATTTGTATATAAATACTTGGGATTTCAAACCTTGAGAAGAAAAAAGTAATATGAAAAGAAAAATCAAGCAGAGCATGAGACCAAAGATGCTAAAGGGTAAAGATTAAAAGAATCATACCATGAGAAGACCACGGAGAAAGAGCCGAGCCAGATTTACCAATCGAGCTCGCTGCAAAATCGGCCCCTACCCTGAATTCATTCATCTAAAATATTCCCCCACAAAAAAACAAGAATCAAACAAAATGAAGTTAGGCATATATAGACAAGGAAAAACATCAAATTTACATTTCCAAAAAAAAAAAAGATAAAGATAAATCAGGAGTACTCGTGTTCTAATCCTTTAACGGTGTATTTCATCTTAGCCACAAATGTAGCATCGAATTTACCGAGGTTAACACCCTCGAGTTCACGGTAGGGTCGAGTTTGATACAAAAAAAATGCATAAAAAAGGCATACCCAAGTGGGTGCACCTCCAGAAGGGCCTTCCCAGCCAATGTGGGCTACATGCTTCACATCTGTAGGATTTCCAATTTCCATCTCACGCTCCTTCACAACTAACATCCAAAATTTAAAAAAGATCCAATTTTTATTCCAGCCCAGACAAATAAATTACTAGAAAACCTCAAGAATATTTCAAAAAATAGAAAAAAAAATGCAAATATATATTCACAAAAAGGGTGTTTCACCAAAGATTTGAGGCAGAGTATATTTAAATCCTTAATAAATCCCCTTCATTTTAGTTCCCATCAGCCAAAGGAATTAAAAGATTCAATTTTTATTCCAGCCCAGACAAAGAAACTACTAGAAAACCTCAAGAATATTTCAATAAATCAAAATTATAAAAAAAAAAAGCAAATGTATATATATATATACACAAAAAGGGTGTTTTACCAAAGATTTGAGACAGAGTGTATTTAAATCCTTTGTAAATCCCCTTCATTTTAGTTCCCATCAGCCAAAGGAACCACCTTTCACTATGATATAAAGCAAATTGCAGCAGAAGAAAGCACCACAAGATTTCCCAAGTATTGCTCCTTTGCCTATTTCAAGAAGCAAACGCGTGCACGAGTTAATCACAATTTTTTTACAATCAATAAAAATTCAATCTTTTTTGCCCCCCCTTTTTCACCACCCTCACAATGAAAAATCTACAAAAAAAGCTCAAGAATGTAAGCAAAATTTGAACATATATAATTCAGAGTCGCAACAATTTACATCACAAATTGACATATCCAGAAGAAAAGCATAAAGGGTCCTCCCCAAAAATCAAAAAAA